TGACATGGCAGACAGGGATGGACCAGGACTTTGGTCCTTAAAGTCTACACGTTCTTCCCATGATGTTGCAGACTGCTGACTGGGAGCCGGACTTTGGTCACTGAAGTCTACGCGTTCCTCCCATGACGTAGCAGACTGGCAGGGAGCTGGACTTTGGTAGCTGAAGTCTACACGTTGTTGTGACGATGTAGCAGACTGGTTTGGAGCAGGACTTCGGCTGTTGAAGAACTGATGCTTCAGAACCTCCCGAGCTGTGATCCTCCTCCGTGCATCAAGGGTCAGCATACTTTTGATTAAGCTGACGAACATCTTTTGATCCTCTTGGTGTTCCTTGTCTTGCACCATATTCTCTTCAATACAATCAAGAGAACTGAGTTTGATCTTTCTGGTGTCTGATGCACAGAATCCCTGCTTGTAATCATCCGGAGTCTTAAATGTCCAACGTGTTCTGCCGTACTCCTGGGTATTGAACAAAGTATCAGTATAACACCCACAGTCCAGGACATCGTCAGGTGGCTGGCCTTGAGTTTGTACGATGGATGTGAAGACATCGTAATCTGTATCGCCAGGGTAGAGTGGGCACCCAACTGCCACCTCCGCCATTACAAGACCCAGAGCCCACATATCCACACACTCATTGTATGGCACGCCCAGTAACATTTCTGGTGCACTGTATGAGAGGGTTCCCATCCAGTCACCTTGTTGTACTGTTGACCCAATACGTGCCACACCAAAGTCAATAAGTTTTACTTGCAGTGGGGTCTGATGGCGGTTCACAACCATGATGTTGACCGGCTTTACATCTGCATGTATGATGTTAATGGACTGTAGGTGAGAAAGTGCCGTGGCCATTTGATACAATACAGGCCTCATATCGTCAATGGCAAGACGCCCACCTTTATGCTGGTGCAGGTAATGGTGAAGGCTCAGATCAAGGAGTTCAAAAGTGATGCATATACGCTCCTTGTCGATGAAAAAGCCATCCCACTGGACTATGCTACTGCATGTGTCTGGGTCAAGACGCCGCAGCTGCTTCAGGATAGCAATTTCATCTATTGCCATTTCCAGAACGCCTTCCTCGTTCTTGTTCACCTTGATTGCAACAGTCTTCTTGTTCTCTGTGTTGCGGCATTTGGCCACAACACCAAAGCTGCCCTCTCCGAGGATTTTCTCAACGACGTGGCAATTGCCAAGTTGGCTTCCCTTTGTAATCACAAGGTTTGTTGCCATGTTGCTGAGTACTTTGTTGATGAAGAGGTGTTGATGGTAGACTTTGCTGTGTCTTCTAGAGTGTCTTCTTTAGTAAAGAGTCTCTGAAGCAGTTGGTGGGTGTTACACAGGAAAGTGTCCGTCTTGTTTCTGGTTTTGTACTTCTCTTGCCAATATATACTCTTTTTTTTTATATCGTCAGTGACGTCGCCACTGATGTCACGAGTTTGCCTTTCATGTGGTTGCTAGGCTACAACTCACGTGCAGCGACCAATGGACTCACGTGCAGCGACCAATCGACTCACGTGCGGCGACCAATCGACTCACGTGCGGTGCCTACAAGCAACCAAAGGCCAAAAAGTTTTATCTAAAATATGAGACTCTCATCCAAACTGGACACTGCACTTCCTCTTGTCCCCAGCAATACACTGAGCAAGCTTGATGCAGGTAGGATGTAAAAGAATAATAAGTAAATAATAACCTGTTTTATGACTGATAAGCAGCCAGTGGTTGTTGTGGCTTTACTTCACGGTAACCAGTAAGGTTATTTGTCCCGCCTCCGACTGTTTCGGTCTGTGCGAAGGAGAAGCAGAGCTGTGGCTCCGACAGGGAAATGTTGCCAAGTTTGTGATTTCGGAGCGGTCGAGGACTTGGACACCTGTTGTTTTACACTTGAGTCTAGAGACTTGACGCTGTTGTTTCCATTCATAGATGATAATTCGCGCTCCTAGCATGCGGAAGCTAGCCGCTAGCGAGTTGACTTATGCTCACGATATTAGCGCGCTATCAAAGCTAGCTGAACGGCTAATCCACGTTAGCCCGTGCTGACTGTGCTAGCTCACTAACGGACTGTTCTGAGTTGAGAAATATACGAGATATACATGTTCTGTATACTGTAGTAATTGTCTGACTGTTCATAATGTTACTTCCCTGTTACGTTGGTAAACGCTGCTCATTAGCTAATATTGGTGCCATAAATGAGCTGCTGTTTTACGGATTAAAGTTAAACAGTAAACATCAGTGAAACTAATGAATTTGGTGTTCATTTGTCAGTGTCAGGAAGGATGAGTTTTCCTCTGTGCCCATGTCGATACACGACTGTGGCTACTCTGCCTCTGATCCTCTGTCCTGCTATGGAACAGTAAGTTTACTCCCACATTTACATCTCTCACCAAATATCAGGCAAGCCAAGAAAAAAACGTCGGTTAAGACTGTTTTACCTGGAGCTGCTTTAGAAGTAGAAGAATACACTTTTCCCTCTTGTTAAATTGTGTTAAAGCCAAATACTTGTAGAATCAATCGGTCATTTTTGTCCAGTGCTCTCCATTGGTACTTGGTTTCAGTTGAACATTCGGTCACCAGCAGGGTTTGTTGCAGCAGAAATGTTTCATAGCAGCTGCACTTTAAAGTATAAAGACATTTCAACATCAGCTCTTCGAATAAATCAAGTGACGTTATTCAACATACATCACAGATGTGTTAATCCTACTTTGCGGGAGAATTTGTGACAAGGTGAACACTCTGTATGTGCCACAATAAAAGAACTGTCTTTGTCTTCAGGCCATAGATATGGCCACTGAAGATGCATTTGTCCTGAACCTTCTGGCCAAGGTCTTCTTTCTGCTGGGCAAGCATGAGATGGCCACAGGGATCTGCAACATGGCTCTGAATGTGCTGCCAGATCCAGAGCTCAACTGGCAGGCTTACTGCACCCGTGCCAAGGTACAGGTACAAGCATACACCACAATATTGATGGTCACACATTGTGTTTGGTACTCCGACAGTCAGATTTGTGTCTTCCTCTCAGGTGTACTACTACATGGGTGTAGACGCACTCCAAGAGAGCCTTTTAGTGGATGAGAGCGCAGTGAACAGTGCCTTGGTAAGACTCTCTCATGCTCTACAGTTTGAGCTGGGTGATAGTCTGCCAGACCTCCACGTGCTCAGAGGACGCTGCCTCCTAATGAAAGGTGAGGAGCAGAACGCTGCAGACTGCTTCAAACAGGCCGTGGAGCTAAAGAGACCAGGGAGCAGAGATGCTACAGCCCTGCGCTGCCTCCTACAGGCCCTCCTGTTCATGCACAGAGGTCCTGACCCCAGCCCTGCCATCACCCAGCTGGAGCTGTGGGTTCACAAAGCGGAGGAGAGGTACCCTCAGGATGTAGTGAAGGCCGAGCTGAGGCGCCTTTACAGGACACACACGGAGGAGGTCACAGAGTTGTCCAGGGCTCTGATCAGGACAGGACGCCTCGACCTTGTGAGGAAGCTACTGCAAACAGTGGTGCCTAAACAGCTGGCTAAGAAGAGACCAGTGTCTAGATCTGTCTCATATACATGAACCAATGACGTGGCTTTAACAGAGGAACAGTGTCACAACCTGGCTCAAAGGCTGGACA